CGGCCCGGGGTCCCGCAGCGCTGTCAGCCACCCCCGCAGCTCTAGGCAGGGCCAGGCCGCCCCGGGGCCGAAGGGTTCGGTCAGCGGGATGTCACTGTGTCAGGCTGAGCCGTGTCACCCATTTCCATTTGTTCCCGACGAGCTCTTGACCGCGCGGCTGTTTCCACAGTTCCCGGCGGCACCACGGTGCTGGTGGAGCTCACCCCCGACATCCACATCTGCGGCATCTGCAAGCAGCAGTTCAATAACCTCGACGCCTTCGTTGGGCACAAGCAGAGAGGTTGCCAGCTCACTAGTGCAGCGGCCGGGGCCACCAGTACGGTCCAGTTTGTGTCAGAAGAAACGGTGCCGTCGACACAGGCACAAACCACGACCAGGACCATCGCTTCGGAGACCCAGACCATCACAGGTACTGGGGTGTCAGCCACCAGGAGTGTGACAAGCGCTCGCCTCGTGCAAAGTGGCAGTTACGTGTGTCCCCGTCATGCTAAGCTCAAATAACGGTTTCACATTAGTCCTGCTGTACCTACAAGCCAAGGAAGAAACTAAAAAAAGTGGTGTGCTGCCTTCTTGGTGTTGGTATGACACCAGGTCCTTAATTTGCTGATGGAGATACAAGTTCACTTAGAGAACTGTTTACCCCGTGTTGTATAGCCAGCTTGTGCAAACTAATTGTCAATACTTATGAAAAATAGTCAAATTACTATGCATTTTATTGTTTAAGAGTGCTTTTGATGAAAAACAGACACAGAATTGTTGTCAGGCACCAATCCAGGCCTTTTTATGTGAGAACACTGCATTCCCTAGCATTGCTCCCATAACTAATTGGCAGGAAAAATATTACTCAACATTTCTGCCTATGCAAAGTCTCAAGTGAGGTCCTGATCCTGCAGACATTTAAATACAACTAGAGGTTTGTTCCATGTGTGAAGGTTTGCCCTTCTATATATAGTTTTGTTTTGTTTTATTTTATTTTAGTCTGGGACCTTACTAAAATACGAATTATTTGACTTTAATTTGGATAGACAGATTAGGGCAGAGAATCTGGAAGAGCAGTGAAACAAACTGAATTCAGGGCTTGCTTCCAGGAATTTTTGTATTATAATCCCTCAACTTGGTGTGGGTTTTGGATGAGTCATTTTTCTGTTTTATATTTACTCATGTTTAAAATGAGGGCAGTTACATCCTTCTGCCCTTTTGGGGTATAGCATTTAATGGATTTAAAAGCTGCTATTTTGGCTGAGATAAGTTTCACCTGTTATTCTTGGGAGTAACAGCTAAAAACAATATAGTTGAAAGAGGTTGAACTTTTTTAACAGTTTTTAAAAAATATTGTTTACGTGATGCCTTTTTTTAATAACATTTCCATTTAAATAATTTTAGTTTTTTTCTCTTTTGGGCTGTAGCACAGCCAGTGTTGGAAAAACAAACATACTTTTATTAATGTAAGACCTGGACAGGTGTCAGAAAAAACTGAACTTCTGAAGAAACTGAACGGTGCAGTGAGATAGGATTCAGAGGGAGACAAGTGGGCCTGTGTAGGGTTGTACTAAGTCCACCCTGGCTCATCTGGTCTTGACAGAATTTTCACTGATAGCAGGACAGCAAGGGAGAGAAAAGTCTTTCTCCTTTCCCCCTCCAGGTGAATATGAAGCCAGGAACAGGAATGTTGCTGAAGAAAACAGAAGAAAGAAGTCATTAACAAAACTAGAAAATAATTAGATTTTTCTGATTAGAGAAGTTAATGTTCTCAAACTGAGCTGTTTTATGTGTTTAGTTTCTGCACCGGAGTTTGTTTTTGAGCATGGCTGTCAAACGTACCTACCCAGTGAGAGCAGTGAGCCTCCAACTGCTGCTATCGTTTCTACAACACCAAAAGCACGTTCAAGAAAATCCACTGCCTCACTTACACAGAAGAAGCTAAACTGCTGCTATCCAGGTATGATGTGGACTATACCTTTTCCATTTCATTTTAAAAGTGATAGGTTTCATATAGTGCCATGCATGGTAGCTCTGTCTGTCTGAAGCAGTTAAGACACGCAGAACCTGGAAGACAACTTACTGAAGGTGTGATGTACTGCCATTGATACCAGTAGTAGTTTTGGTATTGATTTCACATGTCCTTAGACTTTGGTGCTCTCCTGTGGTATACTCTGGCGCTGCTGCAGTGGGTTTGCGTGTAGACGTTGGCTTATGCTCACACTTATAGCAATGTCAGAGCGGAGCCTTGTTACCTTTTTTTCTGCCATTGTATGTGAAAAGTATTATACATACATTTTGCATTATATGCTTTGACTTTGGTCAGTTAGCATTTTTATGAAGATGGATTGAACCAAAGTATTTGGAGGCCTCAATGAGTAAAAACCGTGCAATATGCAGAAAACTTGTGTGGAGACAGCCATGTAGATGAGTAGCTGTGTTAATTGTAGCAGAAGTTACAGTCTCTTTTCACAATCTTGCCTTCATTTGAAAGGTACGTTTCAATGCTCAGCATTCATTTCTCTAAAACTGTAGCACTTTCCACTTGGACAGAATTCCTGAATGGTGAGCTGTTACCTGAGTTCCTAGTTGCACTAACTTGAAGTCATACGTGGAATTAATTAGTTCCCCCAGCATCCCCTGTGTACTCTAAAGAACATCTCAAATCCTAGGCAGAGATTCCAGAGAATTTGTTTCAAAGCTCACAGAAAACAGTAATGTAGAGAGTGAATTGCCTCCTAGGGGAAGCATTAGAAAATTGAAGTTCATAGGTAAGCTGGTCACTATTTTAAATAGATGTGAGTAAACGAGATAGGGAATTCATTTTCTGTTAATACTGAATTTTAAAGAAAATGTTCTTGAAAAGAACAATTCCCAGAATATGGTAGTATATTTTTTAATAATTTTAGGTTTTCCTTGAATTTAATTATCTTAATCTTAACCATTTTCAGGTTGCCAATTCAAGACTTCCTATGGCGTGAAGGATATGGAGCGTCATCTACGAACACACACAGGTTTATATCATTGCTATATTTTATTTTTGGTTTCTTTTCTCCTTTTGGCTTTTTGCCAAAATATATTTTCCTACAAAATAAACATATCTATAGTTAAATTAGAATGTACATGTATGTCTGTAATTGTCCGTAAACCACAATTTCAGAGTTGTAAATGGAGAAGGTTCCCAAAGGTCTTGTAAATTTCTTGTGCTTGTGCACGCAGCCTTCTGGAGCATAGAAGAGTTCTTAGCTGATAGGATGGCTGCTGAAATCCCATGCCCAGCTTTTGAAAACTAGCCCCATTTCTATTAAGTGCTTAGTGTGTGTGCTTTTTTTTTAATTGCAACAACATCCTTATGGTGCAGAAATTCTTGATGTGTTGATGCTTTTCTGTTTGTTTCAGGAGACAAGCCCCATAAATGTGAAGTTTGTAACAAATGTTTTAGTCGTAAAGATAAGCTGAAGATGCATATGCGTTCTCATACTGGGGTGAAGCCTTACAAATGTAAGCACTGTGACTATGCGGCTGCTGACAGCAGCAGTCTCAACAAGCACCAGCGCATTCACTCCAACGAGCGTCCTTTTAAATGCCAGATCTGTCCTTACGCAAGCCGCAACTCCAGCCAGCTAACTGTACATCTCAGATCCCACACAGGTAAATTCATACTACAATTCAGATCTGTAAAGGTTTGAAGATGATAGGAAAGATTTTTAAAGGTATACAGGTGTCAAGATGCCAGACAGGTCCTATTCAAATCCTCAAAAGCACCTAGGCATCTAGCTTCTGTGAATTTCTTGAACATAGAGTACAGTAGGGCAGTACAGCTCCACTGAAAGAAATCAGAAGACAGATCTGACTCTTGGTAGACTTTGTTCTAAATTGATATTGAAACTGCCTGTTAGATGTTCTTAAACCGATAGAACTGAAGGATCTAATTTATTGACTGATTGATTAAGAGCATCTAGGTTCCTGTCAGTGTCTCTCAAATCTGGTCCGCTATATTAGAAAAGCCAAAATTGCTTTATAATTGAACAAGTTATATCAGTGCAAGCCTCAGCTGCGTAATTTAATTTTTCTTGCATCAGTAAATTAGCAAGCAATTAGCAATTTAAGTTAGATCTTTTTTGACCTTTCTTTGTGCTGCCTTCCATGTATGCAGACTGGTGGACATTAACAGTGTAGTGTGAGTAGCTGGAACTGCATTCTGCTCATACATTTTTTTTCTCTATAGATAGAACGCTTTAGCCTCTACGCTTATAAACTTTGTATCCTTTTATATTTGCATCGTTTACCTAAGTTTCATTTTAGTCAGATCTCTCTCTTATAGATTGTTCCTAGAGGAGATTTGCTGTAAAGATACTGCTGTACAGTTGTCTTTGTACAGTTGTCTTCATATGTTGTTTTTCACCTAATCCAGGGTACTGGATTAGTTTCTGTGTTGTCTTGTATACATTTGATTAGTTCTGTGAATTTTAGCTTCAAGGTGGTTATGGTTCAGTGATTACTAGATTAGCTTTGAACCTATCCTACATCTGATTCTGAATTCAAGTACTAAACAACATTAGTTCAGATGTGTCCAAGATGGGATTTATTTTGAGTAGATAAAAGAAATAAATCCCTTGTGCATTGTGAAGGAGGGGAGGGTTAAACCAATCTGTCTCTAGTAGAAAAGAATCTTTTATACTTCACAAGTCTGCTGTGATGGAACAGGCAGTTGTTTTACAAGTTTCCCTCTTTCTGTTGCTATGTAAGAAGATAAGATGTAGTGGTCAGTGAAAATAGTGTGGGTTGTTATGGAAGTTACCTGTCAATGGCACACTAGTCGGAGAATATGGTGTTGCATTTTCCCCATGTCATATACGAGCATGCATACTTGTGTGTTTATGTACATGGACAGGTATGCTCTGAATTTGTCTGTGAGAGAACCTGTGAATGATCATGGTTCTCTTGCATTTCCAGTAGAGTTAGATTTTTTGTGGCATTAAATATTACAATGGTTGGGAAGGATTTTTAGGCTACCTTCTTGCTTTTTGGCAGATCAGTCTGTTGTATCTTAAGCAACTGAATTATGGTGAAATTCAAGCCTGGAGTTTTGTTGTCTCTTCTATTTCTCCAAAATAAATCCTCTTTTGTAAAATAACTTCTTTTGATTTGCTGAAAGGAAGCACAAGAATTTTGAAAATAATAATTTCATCCTTGTTAGGTCACAAAGCTGTTATGCACGCAGCCAATTTTAGGGGAAAAGTAGGACTGGTATGTAGAATACATTGCTTACTGGAATTACATTAGTCATTCTCTAGAAGTTGAGTGGGATCTACATTGCTCAGTGTGAGATCATCTGCATAGCAGTACTTGTTGAAGTAGTCATCTAAAGATGTTTAATTTGAGTAAAACTACTCTTAAATTTAATAATTTCACGATCAAGCACCTTTTTTTAAGCTATATTTTGTCAGTGTCAATTATGTATGGACAGAAATGTAAAGAAATATAAGTAATGGAACACTCTTTAAATAAACAGAACCAACATACTTTGCTATTTTCAGCAAAATTACTAATGCTTTTTCATATATTTTGCTACCCTGTGTGTGAAAATTAAGTCATTGAAATACGTACTGTGCCTTCATCAGCAAAGTAGATAAATTCAGTAGCAGAGTGCACAGCTGAGGCTAAAATAAACTAGATGAACAAACAGCGCATCTTCATTAATAAAATCTGTTTAATGTAGATAATACACCATGTATCTCAATTATTAAACAGATACATGGATTAGCACAGTAGGCCACAACTTGATTTGAAAAATACGCAGCTAAACCTGTGACGTATGTAGCTGGATAAGCAAGATATGCAAAATTATACAGCTATCACAAACTCTATAAAATATTAACTTATAAAACAGCCATTTGCAGTTTGATTATTCAATAAGATAAATGCTTACTGAACTGAGTACACTCTCTTCTTCCTTCCCCCACACCAAAGGTGTCTTAGAACCTAATAACACAATTCTACTTTTTCAAAATAATACCTACCTAAAGACTTCATGTTCAAAGACTTCATGCTCAGGTACTTTAGAGAGCTACATATTTAAATTAAAGAAAGAAAAGTACTTAGTTGGGTTGGTAGGTTTGCTTTGGATTTTTTTTTAATAACTTCAGAATGGAGTCACTGGTCTTTACCCTAGAACAGAGCTGTAGCTTAATGTAGTCACGCGTGTTGTGGCACAAGCCTGCAAATAAAGAAAATGCAAAATAGTGGTTTAGATCCAGGCAATTCAGATGGTTATTCATGTAGGTAGTCTGACATAAATAGTCTTACAGCGGTCTTGCAGATGAGTGTGTTCATTTTTCATGCTTTATCAGTTAGACTTTGACCTAACTTTCAACTACATTGTTAGGTTTCTGGATTGGTGTTGCTCTCAAAAACAAACAAAAAAAAAAGGCATTTATGAATATTTTATATACCTGTGTGCATGAATGCAAACTGATATTGCATGAATACAAACTGATACTAGATTTTCTTGAAGTGATCTGTGGAACATTATTGTGCTACGTGGGGCAAATACCTCTCTTGGTTGCTGTAATACCAGAAAAACAAAAGCTTAATGTTACTTCTCTGTGTAAGCACATTTCCCCATAGTCACAGACTTGCATGCATGTTTCATTAGTCTCACGTTTGTCTTTTCCAGTTGCATTTATGTAGCTGTGATCCCTTTTTTTTTTTCTGTAACTGTAGTAATGCTATGGTTGTGCAGTCACCTGATGCTGACCTAGATGCAGACTTTTGTCTCTACATCTCCCTGTGTTCTGGACAAGACTCCGCTGCCTTCCTGTGCCACCAATAAATAGCATTTGCATTGCACCACGTGAACCAGGCAAAAAAATAATCAGTTTTTCTTGTCAGCTAACTCAACTATATGTTGAGCAGTAAGGCTGGTGCCCATTAAGCATCTGTTTGTGCAGTAGCCTGCCATTTGCCTAGGCTTACAGTCAACCTACAAGTTTCCCTGTAAATCTTGTACTGTAAACCTGAGACATGGATGTGTTTATGTTGTTTTCTTAGATTTCAAAAATAAGCAGCTGTTATAGTGCTTACTAATTTTAAACACTAGTTGAGATATACTGTTGCTAAAGAGGGACAAGTGAGAAACTTCAGTTGTTTCTGTGGACCACACTTAGCAGTTTTACACACAAAATGAACTAAAAATGGGAGAATACCTAAGATGCAGACATGAAAAAGCAACAGGTGTAGGCAGACATGGTTGTGGACAGTTTGCACACAAATATGTCAGACCAGGTGATAAATACTGTGCCGTTAATGTTCTCTACATCTTGAAAATGTGTTGGGAGTTTACAGGTGTTTAGAATAAGTCAGTTGTACATAGTTCGTTACAGCATTGGTCTCTCCAGTGGATTTAGGTGTCTCACCTGTAATTTGAACTGTTTTTGTTGACAGGAGATGCACCTTTCCAATGTCAGATGTGTCCTGCTAAATTTAAAATCAACTCGGACTTGAAGAGGCACATGCGTGTGCATTCTGGTGAGAAACCTTACAAATGTGAGTTCTGTGAGGTTCGGTGTGCCATGAAAGGAAACTTGAAATCACACATTCGTATCAAGCACAGCATGGAAAATACTCTCAAGTGTCCAGAGTGCGAATTTCAGTGTGGAAATAAAACAAGCCTTCGGCACCACATAAGAACTCATCAGCCCGAACAACCAGTGAAGTGCTCAGAGTGCAGCTACTCTTGCTCCAACAAGGCAGCTCTGAAAGTGCACGAGCGAATTCACTGCAAAGATCGTCCTTTCAAATGTGAATTCTGCAGCTTTGATACCAAGCAGCGGAGCAACCTGACAACTCATGTGAGGAAAGCTCATGGTGACAAAGTCAAGACCAAGAAGCAAACAGCGGAGGAGAAAGAAGGAGATAGGCCAAAGCAAGGTGGCTCCAGGCAAGTTGCCAAATTGTACGCCAAGAAAGCATTTAAGTGTGACCTGTGTGACGCTTCCTTTGTCCGAGAAGATTCTCTTAGAAGTCATAAGAAGCAGCACAGTATGTATAAGGGATCTAAAAATAATGAACTGGCTGTTCTACAGCTCCAGATGGATCCTGGTCGGCAGACCGGTGCCCCAATTAGTGTCAGACACCTCCAGGTCCCACTTCAGGCTGCTCAGGTTTCCCCATACAATGAGGGAAGGGTCAAGATCATCGTGGGTCACCAGGTCCCTCAGACTAACAGTATTGTTCAGGCTGCATCAGTGAACGTCGTGCCTCCTACGTTAGTTAGCCAGAATCAGGAGGACCTCTCAGCTAACAGCCGCTTGCAGCTGCTGGGCCAAGTCAGTTTGTTGGCACCACCTCCGCCTCCCATATCTCAAAGTGAAGCCAGGCCTGTGGCACAACCAGCAGTTCTTCTCACAACCCGTGACCAAAGCGATGGAAGCGCTCTGCGTCAGACTATGTCAGCAGTCATGAGGCTCCAGCAAACCAAGCTTTCATCACCAACTCTGGAATCAGCTGCTCTGACTTGGAAGGCCTTAATGCATTGATACAAGAAGGAGCAACAGGAGTGACTGTGGTTAGTGATGGAGGTCAGAGTATAACAGTGTCCACGTCGGCTCCCCCTCCTATCTTTTCTTCGTCCCCTCACACAGAAGCCCCTAAGCAGACCTATTCTATCATTCAAAGTGGAGCCCATACAGCTTTGCTGTGTCCAGCAGGCTCCGTACCGGATTAGTTGCAAAGAAGTATTACTAAAGAAATTTCAGTCTCGGAGGCAGTGCTGAATTCAGCAGAAATGCACAGGGCATAAATTAGTGCAGGATTTGTCCTACAAAGCCAAATACCTTCTACTTACACATTTTACTTGTCTCTACATGGAAGGATACATCTTGTGTGTGAAAAAGACAATGTGTGTATTTATGTGCTTCTGTTGAAATCAGAGGCTGTGTTCTTTGTAAAATCTGAGCATTGAAGCAACTGTTGACAATTTCACCAAGCAGTAACCTTCCCAGAATACAATTCTTGTATTGTGCTGGCTAAAATAAGAAAGCCTCACCTTACGATGAGTTACTCTCACAGCAGACTCATTCTTTCATGCACACACGAAAAGGTAATAGCCCAAGCCATTCTGAAGTATATTTTTAAATGAAGTCTGTTTCAGTTACATGCTATGTATGCATTAACTGCACCTGGCTGATGGTTTATCTGTAAGAAATGTCTACTGCTGAGTCTAATGCAGCCCTTGGAAAGTTTAAGGGGGCTGTTCCTTGATATCTGTAGAAGTTGTTAGCACCTGGCACTTAATCTGGAAATGCTTATGCAGAAGACCAGGTGATAGTTTTTAGAAAAACAAAAGAACTTTGTCCATTCATCAGTAATAACTAACTTTGTTAGGAAGAACACTATTGCGAATTATATATATCGCACAGTGATCTCTGTCAGAGGCGCCTGTGTCTTAAAGAACAAAACAACTGCAAATATATTTTTTACAAATGCTACTTAAATTTTGTTTTTATTTTGATGCTGCCTGTTTGTAGTTGCATGGGTGCATTATGTTCTGGCTCTGTTCTTTTCAAGTTAAAGGGGAAAAAAGGAAAAGATTGAATTCATTCCATTTAAAATAAAAAAAATAGATTCTAATCCAAGGTCTGGAACTCTAGCATAAATTCAGATTGGATCACAATGAGATAGTAATTTACCATTATATGATGCACATTTCTATAATGAATGAATTCTAGGCTGTATTTGAACTATGCAATATTGTAGTCATATCTGGTCAGCATTCTTGTAGTAGTAGCTAATAATACCTTCACTACCAAACCATCTAGACAACAGACTCTCAACTTGCAAAATAGACAGCTCTGTAGGTGCCTGGATCTGCAAAAAAACAGAGATCATTTCACAGCCAGACAGCATCCCAAGGACAATTGTTAACATACATTAAGACTGAAAAGACTTATCAAAACCAGCTCCGAGATTCCCTCTTGGGGAATCAAAGTCAAGTTAAATTTCACAGTATTTACCAGTGGGAGACATTGAATGATTGCTTTATGTGTTAGAAACATCCTTGGAAAACTTACAAAGATTATATAATTAGGGCCACTTTCTGAATAGTGTTTAAAATTTGTGGCTTAAACAGCCTTAATTTTGTGTATATGGAGGTGCTCCCTGCTCCCTCCATCTGTGTGGTGCATACTCTGTGTACAGTGTAAGGCTGCTTTACAATGATGAGTAGGAAAATACAATTATAACTCACAAGTACAGTCATGCAGGGTCTTGAAAATATGACCTTTGTTTTTAGTTGAAATAAGGGTTGTTTAAACGAATGCTCCAGTGTCACTGTCTTCGTTATTTATGGGAAATAGGATTTTTGAAGATCCATATCTCTTCTGCCTACCTAACACTTGATCCTAAACTAATGTTCTTCTAAAACAAAAAAACCTTCCACATAATCTTGGTTTTAAAATCTGGGGTTTGATTTGAGCTGTCTGGCAGTGTGCCTGACACTTGTGGATATCTCGGAAAACCACACTCCAGTTAGAGGGAGAAGGTTCATAAATGTTTTTAAAATTTTAAATTTTAAAAGGCATTATTAGAGTCTTGTTTCTTAGCCCCATGCTGCACTGAAATATGAAGCAAAAGTTCTAAGTTCACTGACAGTTGTATTTCAGGGTTTATTTCCTACACTTGTTCTCCAACTTTTCTGCTGATACAGGTTTGTCACCTGTTAATCAGGTGGTTTAAGGAGCTGACAAGATCCAGTTCCAAGTCACCAAGCACACCTGTGTTTATATAAATTAGAAGTAGACTCAAGGTTTTTACTAATGTAGATTACTGCAGAACATTCATTGAGAACAATAAAATGAAAGCCTAAATGCTTTGAATTTTAGCACTGGCATTGCTGTTGTGGCTCTCCTGTCGTGTTTCGTTGTTGTGCCTATGGCACAGACCTGTTCATTGCATTTCAGCTGTGTTGAGGCTACTTGTAAAGCCCTTGGGAGCTAAAAGGCATCAGAGGTAAGTGCTTAGTCTTATTATATGTGGTCCCTGATATCCAGTTGTAAATGAGCACTGGAGCAGTGTAGATCAACGCTTTGTTATCTTGAAATTAAAATGTGTGGCATAGTAGCAATTCTATACTGTTGACCCATCTCCAAATGTATGTGTACATATGTGCATGATCTATACCATCAGACTGTATACAGTGTTTCTGTGCTGGGCCAATAGTTACTGTAAACACTGGTGAGAGATGGGGCACTTTCAGTCCCGTAAATGCGCATTTTTCACCCAGCTTGCAGTGGTTCTAGACCACGTGCAGCACTGGCATTGCAGGGCAGGAGATGCTTCCCCAGGAGCGCGAGTGTCTGGCGAGGCTGAGCTGCAGCAGAGCAGCCTGGGGAAAGTTCAGTGCACTTGAACTTCAGGTCTGTTTGACCTGGAGAAGGAGGGGGACTCCTTCAGGTCATCTCAGTGGTCCAGTTCACAGCGCTTCTCCACGAACCATTGCACCAGCATAGCAAAGGAGATGGTAGACTACAACCAAGATCAAACTAGAGACAGAGCAGGTGGGAGATTTCTTCCAGCTCCTTTTATAATAATTGTAATACTGAGCAACACAAATAGTGACAGAAAATATCTCTTAAGATACTGTCAGCTTTCAAAACCTGTACTAGGTGTTTGAATAGGAGTAACTAGTCCATTGGTGATCTAGGTTTTAATACCAGTTATTATCTATTTTCCCATTATTGTAAGACAAAAGAATCTAAATTGATCTGCCCTCATGTGTTTGGTTTTGTCACCTGTAAGTCTGCCTCTGTGTCTGCTTGCTCACACACCATCTTCCCAGAATTTCCTTCTGGTGGACTTTATGAAGGCTGGTGATCAGAAGGATAATTATGTTTTAATTTCTACAAGCCACGTGGGTACAGACTTTTAAGTATCCCACCTGAGGAATTTGCATATCAGGAGGCTGCAGTGATGGAGCCTTCCAAGTGTTCCAGCAGGAGAGAAACTTCTGCCCGGCCATGGGACAGGAGCTGGTGGAAATGTGCTGCTCTGGCTTTAGAGCTGGTGGCTGTATGTTGCTACAAAAGGAGTAGTACTCCTATTTTAAGATAAAAGTTTCTGAGGCAGAGTAGTTGCTAGTAGGCAAGCTTTCCGGTGTAGAAAATAATACCAAGCCTGAAAACTTGTAAGTGCAAATGTACTACAATTTGTCAACTAAAAAGTAACGTTACTTTTTATATACTCATTGGTATAAATGAACTCTTCCTGCAGGGTTCCACAAGCATGAAGTATTTTGTGTCCTCTCTCTATAGGTGGTGCTAGAGTTCCGGATAAACTTTCGGGGGGTCTGCTCTGCTTGATAATGTTTCCTGCTAAGCAGTTCCCTGCTTTCAACTCTCTCCCGGATAAACACATTTCAAAATCCACTTTTATAAGAAGCTAGAAAAAGCTTAGCTGTAAAAATCTTATTTTCACTTAAGATAAAAAGCACCACATGAAAAAAAAATGCCAAAGTTTTCTATTAAGATCCCACAAAGCAGATTTATGGCCAGACTGTAATCTCACAATTTATGTTGAACTGATCATTTTTTACTCTTTTTAATTCATTTTAATCTGTACCTAGTTTGCAGCTGCAGAATTATGGTGCACTACAAGAGTGATACAAAATGAGAGTTTTTGACAAAGCCGATGGTTTGAATTGCAATTTATCTGTGTTTGCACTTGGCCAACAGACCTGCACCCAGGGGATGCACCACCACGTCCAGGAATCTCGTGTTCAATCTAATGTCACACTTAACGTTACACAGCTCTGTTATCTGCATTTCAGTTTCACAAAAAGGCTTGTTTGCCTTCTAAAATAGGAAACCGGTAGATTTGTCATATTGTAAAGACTAACCTTCATTCTGGTCCTATGTGTGCCTCTAAGATAAACAGGAAAGATAAAATGGTGTGAATGAATGTGCTGCTTCTTCAACATTGTTTAGCTGATTGCATTATGTCGAAGTGAACAATCTAGAGACTTCTTTCCTCCACCTTAAGGGAAACAAACAAAAAAAAAAAGCTAATAACCAAAGCTAACGTGGGGGCTTTTTTTTTTTCCAATTTTCTGTTCCAATATTATGGTTTTATTTCTGTGTATGACAGTATTGGTCTTTGCGTTTTGGAGCTGGCAGCAGATTGTTTTAATCTCTGATATTCATTTAATACATTCTTCATGTTATCAACAGAACTATCCCTTGGGAGATCATGGTAATTCAGAACAAGTGTCTCTTGTAGGGCTTGCTTGCTTTCAAGCACATGCTAAATAAATCTTATACCTTCCTAGAGTTCTGCCAGTGCCTCAGAGCTCTGTAGCAAGTTGTCTCTTTCCAGGACAAAATATAGGGATGGATTTTGTTCCTCTGGTGTGGGGATCTCCAGGCCCTCCCCGGTAAGCACTGAGCCCCAGCACAGAGCGAGGGTACCCTCTGCCCGGGGTGCTGGGGAGCGCTCCTCACTCCTGCTCACTTGTTACAAAATGGATGGTGTTTGCACTGCATTGCACTGAGCTGGCTCTGAGAGGGAAGTGTCAAACTAAATATTCCACCAGCAGCTTCCTTCGACGCATCTGTTGCAGGTTTTGCTTTCTGCACAGTCTTGTGCTTTTTACACCATTTGCTTGTGGGCTCCCAAGAGCGAGTTTACAGTGTGTTACAGCACTCCCTCCTCTGTGCATGTGAACCTCTCTGA